AGAGGATATATATCCTGTAATATGTATTTTATCCTTTAGAGCCTTAAATAAAAGATTTTCACTTTCAGATTGTTCGCTAATGTGAATTTTCATATTTCATGATTTTGTCTGTGTTAAAAATAGAGCTGGTTGCATGGTAATATAAGTCTAAACCCTCTTTGGTTCATATTAAATTATGTGCATCATTTAGCTAAATGTAAATGATGTTGTGAGTGCTTCCTGAGTAAATAATTTCCATTATTTATCAGATTCAGCCATCAGATGATTCTAAAAATACTTATCAAGCTCTCAATAGCATTTTTTTCTTTCTTTCTTCTTCTTCTTTTTTTTTTTTTTTTTAGAAGTTGCTTGCTTGGGTGCCAAATTACAATCAAGAATGAAATTCTTTTTTAAAAATATTTTTAGCAGTAGATGAAGATAACAATTTATTTTTATGTGGTGCTGAGGATCAAACCCAGTGCCTCCCATATGCTAGGCAAGTGTGCTACAACTGAGCCACAACCTCAGCCCAAGAATGAAATTCTTTTAAAAGAGAGATCAATAGAATAGAGGAAGGGAACCATGAGAGGTAGGAGGGGAGGGAAGGTGGGTACTGTGGAATGAAATTGACCAAATTTTGTTAAGTGCATGTATGAATATGTCACAATGAATCCCACTGTTATGTATAATTTTAATGGACTAATAAAAATTAAATAAAAAGGTTAAAAAAGGAATGAAATTCTTAGAATTTCATGGTACATTTTATCAAAGGTTATCAAGTGGCTTTGAATATTGATGATAATTCTCCCTGAACTGTGACTAAAACTAGCCTAAGGGAGGTAAAACTTGAGCCATTTCTAACAATTAATGAAGACAGTCTTGAAAACTTTCTGTTTGATGTTTCTTCCACTAATTTTTTATTTAAAGTCTGGTATCCCATATTTAACTTACTATTTTTTCTTTCAGTTTTATGTTGCATAATTGTTATGTCACTTATATTGAGTACAGTTATAAATGTGGAGCCCTTAAAACTATGCCTTGTCCCTGTTGGTTTTCAGGAAAAAATAATCTTCAAACAAAGTACTATACTATCATTCAAGATATTAAAAATTCCAGGCTTGTAAACCCTTAGCATTGTGGTATCGAAGATACCACATGTATTGTTTCTCTATACTTGAAATGATCTTAACTGTTTTGACCTTTACAGGGCAGATTTTCCATGGCTTTAACCATTTTTGTGATTTTCTTTGAGTTCTCCTAACACGTTAATATCTCCATCTATCTTTAAATGATAGGGTGCCTTGGAAAGGATCTGGCCTTTCTAGCAAGAAGAGGATAATTTGGGGGTCCTAAGACTGAATATAATGTCACTGCCCAACTTTTTTAACTTTAATGTTTATCCTTTTGAAGGAATGATGTCCCTGAGACAATTATAGCAATCTAGTAGATTCCTTAAGAAAATAAGAACCTTCTTAGTTTTACCCTAAATGATATCTGATTCTGATATACTCACTTATGTTCTCAGAATGATAGTCCTTTTATTATGAAAGAAAACACTTCCCGTAACAGCTGGATGGTAAGACTGATTCAGATAGATTTTATTAGAAAATGAGCACATTGCCCAGCAAAACATTCTTCAGAGAACAAAGATTATGCTAGTGTTATAATATATGTCAGATAAAGTAGATTTCTATTGATTGCTGGATTCTTTATTATTAAAGGTGTTTTCTGATCAGGGAATATATCAGTCCTTGAGGCCTCGTGCTCTTTTGAACCACTGCTTTTTGTATTATGTTAGGAGTTAGCGAATTAATTAAATTTCACTTGCTAATGAAAGCTAACTTCATAAGACTCATGTTGGAAGTCATCCGTGAAGAATTCTAGCAAAATAGTTGGTACTTACCTTTTGCTAAAATTAATTACCCTGGCAGATTAGAGGAACTTCCTTGTTTCTCTTATTTCTTCTTTTTTATAGAAAGGCCATTTCCAAAACTTAAATGGAGAGTATAGTGGCTAGTCAAAGCAGGTATCAGTATCTTGAAAACCAAGGCCCTTATTTAAGCTATCATTAGTCTTCTGTTTGATATAAAAGATTCATTGCCCCCTACCCCAACAAAAAAGAAAAAGCATTTAAATGAGAAGAAGTAAGGAATGGTCAGTTTTCATTTACTAAGAACTTTTTTCATTCCTGAAATCTCACTTTGACTGAAATGGAGAGTATAGTGGTACCATATGAATCAACTATACGTATACAACAAATCAACTATACTTTTAATTACAAATCCCTAAAATTCACTAGTGATAATAATGGCTCCTCCATGTGTGTATACAGGTGTTTTAAAATTATATTTCACCATTTTAAGCATTTTCACAAATTGATTTAGTTGACATAGTACTTTGTAATAAGTATTATTGTTAACTTCATTTTACAGATGAGGAAACTAAAGCAAAGCTGAATAATTGATATTATGGTTTGGATCTTAAATGTCCCTCAAAGGCCCATATGCTGAAAGGCTTGATCATCAGCCTGTGTGTGGCACTGTTGGGATGTGGTGGAACCTTTAGGAGGAGGGACTCAGTGGAAGGAAGTTAGGTCCTTACGGGTGTGCCCTGAAGGGGGATATTGGGACTCCAGCCTCTTCCTCTCTCTTTTATGCTTCTAAGCTGCCAAGAGTGAGCACATTTCCTTGTATGTTGTCACCATAATGTATTACTTTGCCATAGACCTAAAGCCACAAGGCCAACCAACTATGAACTGAAACATCTAAAACCATGAGCCAAAATTAATCCTTTCCTTTTTTTTTTTTTTTTTTTGTGGTGCTGGGATTGAACCCAGGGCCTTGTGCATGCAAGGCAAGCACTCTACCAACTGAGCTATATCCCTAGCCCAATCCTTTCCTTTTAAAATTTGATTTATCTCAGGTGTTTTGTCCCAGTGATGAAAATCTGACAGATACTGCTGGACAGTAGCAGAGCTAGGATTTGAACTCACATTCTGACTGCTCCTTGGCATTATGCTCTGCTGCCTGTCTTGAGGCATCCTACTCACCAAATCAAAGAAATTGATTTTATTCTTCTTAGACTCAAATAAACAGTATTTGATGTTGTTAGCTGTTCTCTTCACCAGACTTTATCGTCCATCGCACTTGTGACAGTTAATTGAGCATTACTTCATGTTACGCACTCTTCCAGGCACAGGGAGTCATATTTTAGTGAATAAACCTCAGACAAAAGTTCTTCGCTGTGTGGAGCTTGCATTCTTATGAGCAGACACAGATAATGGCAGACAATGAAAAATATATATAATAAATAAACTACATAGTATGTTAGAGGATGTAGATAGTAGAAAATTTTGCCAACTACATAAAGAGAGAAGAGCAGAAAAGATTTAGGAGTACCTTTTGGGATGGGAATGCAAAATAAATTGGGCAGCCAGGAGAGGCTCTATTAAGAAAATAATACTTGAGCAAAGAATTAAGGGAGAGGCAGGATGAATTGTCAGGATATTGGGGAGGAACAGGCTACAGGCAGTACAGAGACTTTTGAGGTGGGCTTGTGCCTGGTGTGTTCAAGGAGTATCAAGGGAGGTCAGGGAGGCAGAAGGTAGATAGTGGTGGGAGACTAGGCCCAGAAAGCGCAGGAACAGCCAGAACAGCACTCTAGGCAGATGTGGGGACTTGGGATCTTCCTTTGAGAGAGATGGAAATCCTTTAAAAGTTTTGAGCAGAGAAGTGAACGGATCTAGCATGTTTTTATAGGATCACTATGGCTGTTGAGGAGACAGTGGAAGGGGCCATTGTGAACATCCAGGTGAAAGACATAATGGCCCTTCCCAAGGTGGCAATGGAGTGGTGAGGATTCAATATATTTTTAAAGGAAGAACCAACACAGTTTGGATGTGGGGTTTAGCGATAGGGAGAACCAAGAAGGACCCCAAGCTTGGGAAAGGCTGTGAGTGGAGCAATCAAGACCAGGAGCTCAGTTTTGAATATGGAAAAAAAAAACATGCCTAATATAATATTGGAAATTAAGAATGGCTGAAATGTCCACCAGCATAGAATTAGATGAATAAATTATGATACTTGCATATGATAGAACACTATGAGATAAAAATATTTAAATATTTTGCATATCTATATTAAATATTCACCTGGAATATTTAATGAAAAAAATAAAAGCTGATTATCAGGTAGTACTCAGGACACAACCATATCCCTATAAAAAGGAAAAAAAATGTACTTTTTATTTACATAGGAAAAATGAAATGCAGAACTAAATCTATGCTTTTGTATTCCTATTTAAACTTTTTTCTGTAATATGTTTTGAACAGTAAAAAGGAAAAATATGTGTTCTAATTACCTTCATTTCACAGACTGCATTTTGGGACTCTGAGGCTGAGATTCAGGGCCATTCTAGTGTAGGGGAGATGGAAACATTATTTCCTATGATTTGGGAAACTATAGAGGTATAAAGAATATCACTTTGTAATTTTTCAACAATTACCTGTTCCTGCTCTGAAAGGACACTGAATATAAGGAGAAAGAGAGAAAAAAACCTTAGAAGGTCCACTTATCCCCCATTCCAATTTAAAGTAGCTTAATTTTAGGTGATTTTTATATGAGGACTTCAAAATTGCATTCATCTTTTTAGAACATTTTTGCAGTATAAAATGTTAAGATCCACATCACTTTTTTCCCCCATTGTTGTGAATGAATACTCTGTCCTTGGTATCTCAAATTTCAACATATTCTTGATTAGTTCTGAGACTTAGAGTATATGAAATTATGAATGCTGCTAAATTTAAATCAGAATTCTTTAATTGATGGTTTTAAAACTACAACTCATTCTATGTGGAGAGACTTTAACAACTTTACAACAGTTTTGTGATATTTATTTTGAAGTGCCAGTAGGCAGTATTATGTCCCAAAATGTAATATCAGGTTCTAAGAAAATGATATAAATATGAACTGCCTGCTGGGATGAAATAATTGATTGATGTGATTTTGTTTTGTCATTTCAAGGGTGTGAAAAAGATAGATCCTGAATTGTATGAAAAATTTATCAGCCACAAGTTTGGAGAAGAATTATGCTCTCGCATAGATCTTTGCTCCATGCTTAAGAAGAAACAAAGTGATGGTTATTATCATTGTGAGTCTTCAATTGTGATTGGTGAGTGTCACTTAAAAATTATTGTCTTTATTTTTGACTTTAGCATCACTTTATTTTGATAGATATTTAGGATTAGTCATATGTTTTTCTCAATGACGTATTTTTCTAAGTATGTTTGGTAATAACACAAATAAAATTTTGTAGAGCATTTTTCATATTTATATCAGTCAAAATTTACTACCTATACTTTTTATACTTCTGTGCTTTAAATATAATGAAGTCTTAAAATGTTGATTCAAAATTCATTTCAGTTGAATTTTATTTCATGATCATGAAGACAGCATTTTCTCCAGTTAAGGCCTACATAACCACACCATTTCTCACCAGGAATTTTCATGTTTGCTACTTTTAATTAGGAATAGAATGATTCAGGTAAGAAAGTTTCACTCAGAGAAGAGAAAGAGTGGGTGGCCTGAAAAAATTGAAGACTTCAGTTTCTTCGATAAGGAAAACATGTTCGGAGAAGCCCTGAGATTTATACATACATGCTTCTACTTTCATACATAAATGCTTCTGTCAGGTGGCAAGTGATGAAACAGACTCCTACGCAATTGTGTTTCCAGGTTCACTAAATGAAGACCCTTTAACCCAAAGAAGGCCAGACTATTTCCCACCTTTTGCAGATTGAATGTATTTCACGGGAGCCTGCTCTATTGTGTGTCAAATGTACTATTTCAAATCAGACACTATTCTTGTAAAATTGTGAACTTGAAGACAACCTGATTTATATGCTTTTAAAGTAACATGAAAATAACTCAAAGAAGAAAAATATATGTATTGAATGTCTCAAGGTCTCAGCCAAGATATTTTCCTTCCACTTCAGCTTGAAGAAAATCTATGGATATATGTACATCCTGAAAGAATCTTAATACTGAAGTTTATTAAAGCATTTAAAAAATGTTCAAGAGACACAATTTATTTCTAGATCCTCATGACAGATCTTCAGAGAAGTCATCATTTTACGTTCCAAAGATTTTAGCTATCTTAAACAGAAGATATTCCGTATGTCGTTTGAGTTTTATATTCTAAAACATTTCAGGTCTATTTTAAGGAGGATTTTTCATGCTTTTGGAGCTGTCTTCCATCCAAATTTTGAGGAGGACTGAATATTTCCATTTAGGTTCATTGCAAAGTATCTAAATTTTTAGATCCTTCTTGTGTAGTACAGGTTTTGGCTAGCTTTCCCTTTTTCTCTGTGATTAGTTTAGGTCAACCTGGAAAGGGTTCATCACTTTTTCCACTCATAGTTAAGAAAACAAAAAATATGAGGATTTTGCTGAAGATACTGTGGGATTGGCATTGGACAGCTCATAGCACATACCACCTAAATTGACACTAGGAGTGTCTGCTCTGTTCAACCCTCATCCTGATGTTCCAGCCTTATAGATTCCCCCTTTCATTTCTATTTTCTAACTTTCTATTTTCTCCTTAGTGTGGCTAATTTCTCTAGGCTTCTATGTCTTTCTTACCTTTTTATAATTTAGAGTGATTTTGTTTTTTACAAACTCCACCAATCTCGCTTTCTCATACCAATCATTGAACATTATTTAAAAATATTTGTTTTGGCTTCTTACAAATACTCTTTTTTTTCCTATCACATTTGGTGATTCTAGTAGGAGCTTTAAAAATGATATTTGTATCTAAAATAACTTATGTTAGAATTAACCAAGTTTAATGTACACTAGAGTTTATTTGCTTATGGATAATTATTGATTTTCCCAATCATACCCATGTTTTATAACAGAATATTTATCAGGATTTGGGATACTTTCTTTGTGAATTTCATTTCTGGGTTAGATTCAGTTGGCTTACATTGGTTTGGGTTCTCTTTGATTTTTGATCCTCACTCAAATTTAATGTCTATTTCCTGAGCCTTGAACCAATATTTTAAAAAATTGACACATAATAATTGTATGTATTTATGGAATACAGTGTGTTATTGTAATGCAGATATGCAATGTGTAATGATCAAATCAGAGTAATTAACATAGCCATCATCTAAAATGTTTATCATCTCTTTCTGTTGGGAATATTAAAAATTCTTCTTATCTCTTTAAAAATCTATAATAAATTATTGTAAAGGACAGTCACCCTACTTTGCTCTAAAGCACTAGATTGACCTTCTCCAAACATGTTTTCCTATTTTATTGTATGTATTAATAGAGTAGAACAGAGTTCAGACCCTAAGGTATTTTGTCTTGAGAATTCTGTGTAGAAGTTAAGCTTCTGAGACTTGGCAGCTTCCTGAAATTGTTTATAAAACGTTGTGTATAGAAATATATGTGAATTTTTAGAGTGAGAGAATTGAGCTTTCATCACATTTGAATATTTCCTATCTTTTAATTTGTTAATAATGGCATTCTTAGAAAGTGCTAGGTTCCAAATCACTGATATTCTTTTTGGCTGTCTTTTTTTTTTTTTTTTTTTTTTTGCAGTGCCAGAGTTGAACCCAGGGTTTTATACATGCTAGGCAAGTGATGTACCTTGAGCTACACTTCCAACCCTAGGACACTTCGTTAATATGAATGACTATATGATTTATTTTTAAGATTTCTAGTTGACTCTTTTTCCTACTTCCCTGTTCTATACTTGGCTTCCTTCTTACTTTTATTCATGTCTTTGAATACTTCAATATAGTTGATTTAAAAAAAAACTTTTTTTTTTAGTTGTAGATGGACACAATACCTTTATTTTGTTTTTATTTTTTGTGGTCCTGGGGATCAAACCCAGTACCTCATGCATGTTAGGCAAGGGTTCTACCACTGAGCCACAACCCCAGCCCTCAATATAATTAATTTTTAAATTTCTTTTTACATTGTAAAAATCTGTAGTTCCATGAGTATGAATTCTTGTGTTTGTTTGGTCTTTTGTGACACATATTCTCTTGTGCTTTTTTAAGTTGTTGGCCCTCCAGGCTCATCTTATTGTGTATATTTCCCCCTGAAAACCTCATGTGGGTTTTGCAGTTTTCTTAGTCCTGGTTGATGTCATGCCTATTTATCATGGGCTGCAACTCCTTCCAAACCTAACTGAACTAATCAGCTAAAGTTAAAATCCAGAAAAAAGTAAAAAACCTGATTGTTTCTAGTGAAAACTGGTAGTGAAATATGGTCTGGTTGGAATATCCTAGGGTTAGGAAAGCTGTTCTCTGTGAACTTCTTACTTGAGTTGGGTGAATGAATTTTTCTCAGGCAACTACTATTGCATTTTTATTTCCTTAGGGAAAGTAATTGACTAAATTACACCCTTTGTAAGATTGATAAACAATTGATAAATAATAGTGATAAACAATTCAGTGCTTGCAAAGACTGGTATACTTTTTTTTAATTAAAAAAAATTTTTTTGGTTATGCATGGCACAGTATCTTTTTTGTTTATTTATTTTTATGTGGTTTATTTATTTTATGTATTAATAGAGTAGAACAGAGTTCAGACCCTGAGTTATTTTGTGCTGAGGATAGAACCCAGTGCCTCACATATGTAAGACAAGTGCTCTGTCACTGAGCCACAGTCCTAGCCCTAGAGACTGGTATACTTTTGTCTGTCAGACCTGACTTATAGTGGGGAATTTGGAAAGGTTTAGAAGAGTTTATTTTGTAGGCTAGGGTTTTTTTTTTTTTAATGAATTCTGAAAGGAGAGGTAGAAACAATGATTTTCTGGGAATAGCAGTATTTTTTGGCTTAATAATAATTGCTCAACCTTAACTTAGTGAATATTAATAAGTAGGTGCAATGTTCATACTATGTTTTGGGGCATTATGAGATATAGAGAAGTATAAGACATAGTACTTAAGGATGATAATTGATAGCCAAGACTACATATGAGAGATGGAGAGGGAGGAGGACTAGAGTAATAGGATCTGTTTATAAAAGTAGGGGTTTTGGTGGTTCACAGTGGAAGAAACTTATAATTTTAGCTTCTGGGCAAGTGTGGGGATGAGGATTAGGGAAATTCAGCTGAATGTGATGAGACTGAAGAGCAGAGAGATGAAGAGTAGAGAAAAGAGACTTTCTAAAGCAATAAGCATGATTTATAATGGGAGGGGAGCAGTGGGTTGGAGGCTGGGTGGAGGCAATAATAGCGATAAGAAGTACCTTAATTGAACCTACAATTTCGTTAGCTGAGGAAGCTAGAGTGGGAGGTTGCTAGGTTTGTGAGTACGAGCAGTTGGTGAGCAGATGAACAGATTTACACATACTGAGGCAGTGAATATGTACTGAAGAGAACTGAGTAGTTAACATGTAATATAGAGAGTTTAATACTCAGCATAAGAATACAGGAATGAATCCTAAAAGAGAGACATTCACTTAATTTTAGACTGTAGCACAAGTGGTATGGAGGAGGTAAGGTTTCGGCCAACCATAGGCTCAGATAGATGCAAATGGGTCTGTACAGATCTGGTGATAGAACAGGAAAAGGGTTAGTCAAGTAAGTCAGACTCACCATTGTTTTTGATGTTCCTAGGCTTAGGATAAAATGCAGCTAATACACCTAACCTACTGAACACCATAGATTAGCCCAGCTTACCTTCAACATGCACATTAGCCTACACTGGGGCAAAATCATCTAACATGAAGTCAATTTTGTAATAAAATTTTTAATATTTCATTTAATTTATTGAATACATGTATCCCAAACATACTGGTATTACAAAACTCTGTAGATTGTCAATTGTTACCCTTGTGATTTGTTGGAGGCCCTTCTAACTGAGGACCTCAGCTCTCACTTTGGAATCCTGCTCTTCAGTGCTCTATACCTTGGGGGTCAGGGCAAAGCTCCAAAGCCTTTGAGCTACCCCTTCTGGATCTTGCATGGTTTCACTATGTGGGTGTGGGGATCTTTTTTTTTTTTTTGGTAGGTTTTAAATTCTTTTAAAATATATAAAATATATAAAATTTTAGGTTTACCAGTTCTTAAAATTCGGTCTATGCATCCCTAGTGGTCCCTTAGATACTTTACAAAGTTTAGGAGGACAAAACTATTTTTATAATAATACAAGA